TTGCAGAATAATCAGGTCTTAAGGAATGTCACAACGATAATCCTGCCAAATGCTGCTGCCCAGACGTCTGCAGCCTCAGCGGGAGCACGAGGGGCCGAGGCTGCCCCAGCTCAGGGAACATTTGCCCTCAGAAACCATCCTCAGGTTTCAGCTTTGCTGCTTCTCTGTCCTGTGCTGCTCTGGGGCAATGCTGAGCTTCGTGCTGGGCGTGAGCACGTTCTCTTCAACAGAGCAGCTCCTGGCGGGAGGAAACGATCCCAGCTCAGAGCAGGGACAGGCCTCACAAGCTCCAGCCCCCCAAAAATATAAACAAAGGTGAAGTGGAGAGAGAAAAACAAGGATGGAACTTCATAGCCTAAAGCTGGAATTGGACAATTAACTCCAATATGCAAGTGGACCTGAATTTGTAAAAGTGACTGTGACTGGCTGTGCAAAACTACCTACAGCAAAATAAAAACCTCAAAAATTCATTAGCGATGATGATGTCAAAGTGTAATTAAGCGTAATTCCCTGCGTGGAAATTCCTAGAAGTATTTGGCACTGAACAATGTTGGGAAAGCCACTGGACTTAATACAAGTTTCTTAATGAAGAACATTTCTGAGTGGTTCAAAGGGCCTCGAAAGGCTGGGTGGGCAGGGGAAGGTGACAGAAACCTTCACCTTTGTGCAGGTGAATTCCAGGTGTTCAGGCTCCTCCCTGGCACCTCTGCACCCCTGCCTGCCCCAAAAAGCAATTTATTGGAGGGAGCGGATGGGACACGAGCCCTGCACAGCACTGCTGCCCCGAGCCACACGTGGCACAGCCAGAGCAGTAAAAGTATAAATAGAAAATGAAGCATTTCAGTGTTTGAGGCAGATGAATGTGACCATCTGCTCCAGCAGCATCCCAAAGCCTCTGGAACAGCAGCCTCTGGTGTCAGCATCCTGCTCCTTCCCCCGCCTGCACCTTCAACAGCAGCAGGGCTAAAAATACAGAAAAGACACAGCCGGGCCCTGGGGCCTCCTCTGATCTCTGGTTTTCCATCTTAGCATAAATCACGTTATTTGTGCTCGGAACACAGCCCAGAAAAATGGAACACAAGGGTCGGTGCTGTGAGCCAGGCCAAACTGCTCTGAGCCAGGCCAAAGTGCCCAAAATCAGACCAAAGTGCTCTGAGCCAGACCAAAGTGCTCTGAGCCAGGCCAAAGTGCCCAAAATCAGACCAAACTGCCCTGAGCCAGACCAAAGTGCCCAAAATCAGACCAAACTGCTCTGAGCCAGGCCAAACTGCTCTGAGCCAGGCCAAAGTGCCCAAAATCAGACCAAAGTGCCCTGAGCCAGACCAAAATGCCCAAAGCCAGACCAAAGTGCCCTGAGCCAGACCAAAGTGCTCTGAGCCAGACCAAAGTGCTCTGAGCCAGGCCAAAGTGCCCAAAATCAGACCAAACTGCTCTGAGCCAGACCAAAGTGCCCTGAGCCAGACCAAAGTGCCCAAAGCCAGACCAAAGTGCCCTGAGCCAGACCAAAGTGCCCTGAGCCAGACCAAAGTGCCCAAAGCCAGACCAAAATGCCCTGAGCCAGACCAGATATTCCTGCCCAAAGGCAGGCCTGGCCACTTTCTCTCTGAATCTCTCCCAGATTCTGTTGCAGCACGTCAAACCCAGCCATGAACTCAGCAGAGCAAACACAGGGCAGCACAGAGCCCCGGCACGGTAATTCCAAACCACGCGCCCCTGCCCACCCAGCTTTGCCATCCTGCCGTGGCCCCCAGACTGCCCGTGGTGCTCAGAAAATGATCCTTGTCCCAAACCCAAAAAGGACAGCAAAGCTCCAGCACCTGCAGCACACCTGGGCCACCCTGCGAGGTGGGAATTGGCCCCACAGTGCAGCTCCTAAACACCAAGGGAAGGGAGCTCATTCCCTGGGAAGTTTAAATAACGGGAAAAAATTAAATTAAATTAAATAATATAAATATTGACGGGGAAACCCACACGAGGCACTGCAGGGGAGTGGGAGGACAGCTGGGAGCAGAGCGTGTGGTTGTTATTTTAATGAGCACTTCGCCCAACTAGACCAAAATACAGAATTTCCTGCATGGAGCAGCTCAGGCAGAGCCAGGAGAGGTCCCAGCAGCACCCAGCTCCTGCCTGGATTTATGTTTATCCCGTGCCAAGCCCAAGGCTGGGTTATCAATAGCCCAGCCGGGCTATTGGAGAGCAGATAAACCAGTCCAGGGACTGCATTGATTACCCTGTAGTGTTATTGATATTATTATTGATACCTGAGCCCTCAGCCAGGGCTGGCACAGCAGAAATGTCCCACCCAGAGCTGCTGAACGTCCCCAAACTGCCCAAAACCTGCCCCTGGAGAAGAAATGGGCACAGCCAAGCAGCAGCAGCAGCCCCTGGCGTGGCCCTGGTGGCTCCTGCCCTGCCCCGGGGCAGAATCCCAAATCCCCTTTAGGATGGAGTGGTGGGGGCTCATCCATTCCCATCATTAAATAAAGGACAAAAGGGCCGATCTGGGCCCCCCGGCCCTGCCTCACCCCCACAGCAGCAGAAGTTGCTGTTTTTGTTGCTGTTTTCACCCAAATCCAGCCTTGTTTCCCCGGAGCCTTCTTTGTCCTGCTGGACAGCACCGCTGTGAGCACGCAGCTCTGACCAGCAGAGATCACAGCTTCTCACGGCCAAAAAAAAAAATGAAAATAAAGCAATGAAAAACTCTCCCCAAAGCCACAGGAACGCTCGGAGATCTCTGCCCACAGGGTCACCCCGCTCCTTCCCGAGCAGGAAACCCCCAGGCGATGCTCGTTTGGCACCAAACACGCCCGGACCGCTGTGATCTGACACAGCTCGGGCTGCACGGAATGAACGCTCGGGTTCACAGACATCTCCCTTCAGAGATCGGCAAAATGAGTTTGGAGGCAGCGCTGAGGTAAGAAATATTAGTGACTCTCTCCTCCAGTTACCAGCCCGTCAGGGTAATTTTTTCCTGTAAAAGCACAAGCCCAGGGCTATCCATGTATATTCATTCCAGCAGATTTCAAACGCAGTGCCAGGGGTTTCTACAACCGTTCCATTTGTCTTTAATCCCCGCTCAGAACAGAAATCTGAGCACAATCTGTCTCTGAGGCAGCTTTGAGACAACTTCATAAACCAAAACCTCACAGCTCCGGGCTTGGAGCTGAGCTTCAACCGCTTCAGCCAGAGCTGCCAATGACCTCCAGGCAGCACCGCCACCAAACTGCCCAAAAATCACTGCTCTGCCTCACAGCCGTGCCCAAAACCCTGTCCCAGCCCAGAATCCCAAACGTCCAACACGGCACATTCTGATTAAAGAGCTGGAATTCGTTAATTGGCAGCACCAGAAGAATCTTCCAGCCCCGTGGTCTGAAATTCCAGCTCCTGACCGCACTTCCCCCAGAACAAGAGCTGCCAGAGGCTCCCAGGTGTGAGCACCGAAGGCACCGAGCAGCCCCATCACTGATTTAGGCACACGGTTCCCTCTGCAGGCACCGATGCTTCTCGATCTAATTATAATGAAAACCAAGAATCATTATTTTCAATTCTACTCTCGTCATTTATTTCACTGCCCTCTAAACTGGTGGGGCTCTGCGGGTTGGTTGGGGTTTTTTTTCTTCCCCCAAACGGGCAGATTTTGTCTGTTCCACAGAACCCCGGAGCCGTAATTCAGGGAGAGGTCCGGGCAGGTGGCGCGGCCAGGGAGGCTCCAGCACCTGCGGCCAGCTGGCACAAGCCCGTGGCTACCCGAGGATGATCTCCCCTACAGAGAGCAGAGCCAGAAATCCCATCCGGAGGGGAATGGGAGCGCAGACACGACGGGCGTGCGAGGGGAGAGCTCCACTGGTGAGGAACCTGTGAGGAGCCGCGAAGTCTCACCGCTCCGCTGTGCGGGAGTGCTGAACATCGCAGAGCCCCAGCACGGAGCTGCTCACCGCAGCTTCCTCCGAACGGGAGGACAGAGCCCCGCCGCACATCCCCGCACTTCCAGCCCCGGGAGGAGCCCAGCCAGCCCCGCCGAGGCTGCGGGAGCGCGGGCGGGGAGGGCTGGTGACATCCTCTGGCTGGGTGCCCTGAGGAGGTGACCGCCCTCCAGTGATTTACCAGGGAAAAGTTCAATAAAATCACCCAAAAAAAGGGATCCGGAGCATCTCCACGAGCCTGGCACACGGGAAACGGATCCACCCGCGTGTGCGCATCGGCCGGAGGCACCCGGGGGATGAGACCGCGCTGCCCGCGGGGTCCCTGAGCCTCCCGGAGCCCGTCCCGGGACAGCCCGAGCGGTGTCCGGGCCCGGAGCCAGATCCAGAACCAGAACCAGAGGCGGACCCGGCTCCGCGGGCTGCCCGCGGCTGCTGCACCGCCCAGCGCGGAGCGCTCCGTGCGCGGAGCCGCAGCCCGCGGGGATGCGCTGCGCCCCAAGGACCCGAACGGCCGGGACCAGGGCCGGGACAGGGCCGGGACACGGCCAGGACCATCCCGGGACACGGCCAGGACCATCCCCGGACCACCCCGGCACCCCCAGCGCAGCCCGGCGCCGTCGGCTCCGGTCCCCACGGCGGTGCGGGTGTTTCTCCGGGAGATGGGATGTGGATGTTTCCTCGGGAGGTGGGATGTGGATGTGTCTGCGGGAGGTAGGATGCGGGTGTTTCTCCCGGCGCTGGGATAGCGGATGTTTTTCCCGGCGCTGGGATGCGGGATTTCTCCCGGAGGTGGGATGCAGGTTTTGCTCCCGGCGCTGGGATAGCGGATGTTTTTCCCGGCGCTGGGATGCGGGATTTCTCCCGGAGGTGGGATGCGGGATTTGCTCCCGGAGGTGGGATGCGGGATTTGCTCCCGGCGCTGGGATAGCGGATGTTTTTCCCGGCGGGTCCCCGCCATCTCCCCGCGTCTCGCCTCTCCCGCTCCGCCATCCTCCGGCGCTCGCCCCGCCGCGGAGCAACCGGTGGGACCCCCGCGCCCACAGCCGCCCCGGGGAGGGCAGGACGAGCCCCGCTTACCTCGCAGCGCGGCCGTCCAGCTGCACAGCCCCAGCAGCAGCAGCAGCCGCCGGTGCAGGCGCGGGGCTCCTCCGCCCATGCTGAGCCCGCAGAGCCGGGGATGGAGCCGGGGAGAGCCCGGGATACAGAGCCCGGGGATGGAGCCGGGGATGGAGCCCGGGATGCGGAGCCGGGGATGGAGCCCGGATACAGAGCCGGGGATAGAGCCGGGGAGAGCCGGGGATGGAGCCCGGGATGCGGAGCCGGGGATGGAGCCCCGGGGTTGGAGCCCCGGGATATGAAGGCGCGGGATGCGGAGCCCCGGGATGCGGAGCCCCGGGATGCGGAGCCCCGGGATGCGGAGCCCCGGGATGCGGAGCGCCGGGATGCGGAGCGCCGGGATGCGGAGCGCCGGGATGCGGAGCCCCGGGATGCGGAGCCGAGCTCCAGCCTGAGGATCAGCCGGGGTTCTGGCTGTTTGTGCGGGGGTTGCCCGCTCCCGTCCCCGCGCAGTCTCGCTGTCGGGCTCCCGGGGACGCGGCGCTCCGGGGCCGCGGTGCGGGCTCCGCTCCCCGCTCCGGCCGCCGCCGACTCCGGGGCCGCGGCGCGCGCCCGCATCACTAATGAGCCGCCCCTCCCCCACAGCCAATTAGGGGCGCGCGGGGCGGGGCCGGCGGCGCGCGCAGGTGGGGGGGGATGGGGACACGGGAGACCCCCCCCCAAACCCTCCCCCCCAAA